CATAGTTTTCACACACAACATATGATGATTGAGGTCTGGCATGAGAACTCCGTTTTCCGGCCTCCTTGGAACAATCCCTCGGCCGATGGTCACCTCCGCATGTCCAACATGCTGATCCTTGTTGCTGACTAGTAAACGATGGCACTGGTGCACATATGGTTTCTCTAGCGGTCGCCTGCCGTCGTGTCTACACTCTGCGACCTTCACTATTACCACCATCAATGGATCGACACAGTGATGTGCTATGCAAGACACGAGAGGTAGTGATCGTGTCTCTAGCAAATGAAGATGTCACCATTTTTTCTCCACTATGTTAAGTTCAATCTTTTCAGAAAGAGCAAACACATATACCAATGTGGGGACGCATCGGTCAAGAGAGTAGCATCACAAACTCTCCGCCGCAACACTTTATCGAGAATCTTGTATCAATACTCGACAGCCTGTGTCTCAGTCACACCGTGAGTAACTGAAATCAATCGCAGCATACGAGTGTATGCCTCCCGAAGACTTTTACCAGTCTTACGTTTAAACTCATCGAGATTTCTCAACTTTTCCGTCCTGTAAGACCGGGTGTTGCACATATGTACTAAGTCTAAGAAGTGGTCAAGTGATTAAGGATGATTAGCCAAGGGATAGCTAAGTCTAGCTAGTTATGACTAAACTAGTTAGTTATAACTAAGTTTATCTAGTCATAACTAAGTTTAGCTACACTGTCTATAGTTGGCGGAATGATTAGCGGAGTTCTAGAAGAATGGAGTGAGCACTTCTATTTTGTCTTATACAAAAGTTCTAGATTCCAAGGGATTAGATATTTGACTCAAAGCTTGGATTTGATTGGTTAGACCAAAATGTATGAAAGATGATTGGCTAGACTAAGTCTAGTGTTGACTTAGTGGCTAAGAAGCTTGTAGAAGTTTAAAAGTTTACAATGGCATGTCGCCACGTCAACCTTGGATTCCGGAAACTTCTAGAAGGTTTAGCTAGACCAATGGCATGTTGCCACATAGAGAGAGTTAGTCAAATTTACCTAGGTAAAAGTAAGTTAGGAGAAATTACCATATGTTACTATGATAACTTCTCAAGTAGTATAATTGCTTGAGAGTTGCTACTCTCAAGCAAGTTTGGAGAGTCATGTGTGAGTACTTGTTTCAGTAATGAAGAAGTGAAGTTTTTGAGTATCTTGGAGTATCGACTTGTGTTTGCGTTTATATGAAGGGAGTGATGCGAGGAGAGTTTGTGTGTGAGTTGAAGTGATACATGGAAAGTTTGTGAGAGAAGTTGTTTGGGACATGAGTGTGAGGATGAATCCTAGTCTTCTAGAACCATGATGCGCTACCACAAAGCCATCAGAGGTAAATTTGAGTGAGAGTCAGCCAATTGGCACCATTGTCAACTCTCCACATGACCTCGTTCCCGCATCAACCTACTCTACCTCTACTAGCTACGAGTATGGACGACCTAATCTGTCATCACCGCCAGAAGACTTTCACGGTCCATTGTTCATCACTCCAATCTCACCGTGAGAGAAACAAAGATAGGCCGGCCAGTGATCAAATCCAGCCGCACTATCGACATCACACATGAGTAAAACTACTCCAAAAACCATCGTCAACCCATACACGGACGCGCATCAAGAAGCAAGATTAAAGAGTTTCCAAACACAAGCAAACAGCTAGCAACAACTTTCCAGCTGAAATGAAACACAGCACATAACAACACAACCGAGAATAACACAACACACGAGATATCGCCTCGCACAGCAATCCCGAGTCGAACTTTATCGCCCCCTATCTCTCGTCTCCAGCGCCTGCAATGCTATCTCGTTCATCCCGTCGCAAAACAAATATCCACACCGCAAGGGGCTGTCAAACAATCCTCATCACCACTTCCGCCAAGCTTGATAAACACCTGATGCGGCTTGGTTCGATGTGGATGTGACCTCGTCCATATCAAGAAGTATTCTCTTGGCGCCCACAAGAAGCAATCACCAGGAATAATTAAAAAAAATCTCCAAGCACTTTCTTTCCACCACAAAAAATATGCGCTCCAGACAAATTCCTTGTTCTTCCAGTTTTTCACTGGAACCTTTGTTGGTTTCCTTCGCAAATCAATCTGCTAGAATACGCCTTGAACACGATGCAGAAAGTGAAGACCTCTTCTATCGGTGTAACATAGCTTCTAGAGCTCAAAGTGCAAAGTTTCACTCTAAATGCTTCCTCAATATTCATATAAGTATCATCTTCTCTACTGATCATCGCCTGTTATGAATCATTTGTAGTGCACGTTGCTGGAAGCTTTTTTGTGATATGTATCGCTTGATAAATGAGGTCATTATTTATCACGGTTGAAAATACTCCAGGGACACGGTCTCTAACGAAGTTCAAACCAATCACAAATTTTAACTTCATCAAGTCCATTCGAGCTTATAGCCTAGTTAAAGAGCTCATGGATGCATGTCCAGAAAGCTTCTCCACTTCCTCCATACACTATTGTGTTAGATATACAAAGAGGAAGTTAGTCAATTTTGCATGTTGTGCGCAGTGAAGGATATTCCAAAGACTTGATCGCGAACGATCGTGGAAATTGTTGTAGGTGGTGAAGAAGAAGGAAAAGATCAACATATCATGGTACAGTTTAAACTTCAATCTTCAGTTCTGCACGCAACCTGCCTTTTAAGTTGCATGGAGATTTGAATTTGTCTCGATAGAGAGACTCTATGAGGTCTTGGAAGTAACCCGCGAGGTTTCAGGATTCCTCAAAACAAAAATAATAATTTATTTTCTACCGTTAATAGATATATAGAGAAAAGATCCCCATGCGAGTTTCACAATAAACTTATTGCAAAGCTAGCCAATCCTATTCTACAAGGGTTTATGGATTCTCCACCCATCAAGATCTTCAGCATGTCATTAGTCATAGTCTCCGTGGTCCCCAAACTCCTCACGATGTGTGATGTGCAGTTGCTAATACCCTCTCTTCTCCATTAAATGCGGCCATGGATCTGTAAGCATCCTCTTTTTACTTCACCCCGACTGCCTGCCTCATAACGGTCTCACATGGATCAATCTGGTATGGAATGTAAAACGCTTCCGCTTTCTTTCACAGTCATCGCATACAGCAACAGCTCTCCTCCGTCGCCCTCCGAGGCATTGGAGAGATCAAAATATCTTCAGTTAGCTCGGCACGCGAACTTGTATCTCCTTGAGCTTGTATCTCCAAGGTTTCGAACTGGGATCAAAACAAAAGAGCCTAACTCATTGCTCCAGACGCTCTGGTCATCTTCACAGCTATCCACAATCAGCTGAGAAGAGTCAGACCATCATCTGAGCGCTGTTGATTTCACACCAAAAGATTCTTCGATTCAGTGAACAATGTGGCCGTTCACACATTGCAAACTCGTGACACAAAAGTACAAGGTGAACAATGGGTTTCAACACTTCATGAGGTGGAATTTCAGTTCAGCCTGCACGCAGTGATTCCTCCAGGTCAGCGCGTGAACTCTCTAGGTGTGAACTCTCTAGTCCGCGTGCCCATCAGAGCAAAAGTTTTTGAATGGCAAAATGTGGCTCTCTCTGTTTTCAAAGTGCCATGCAAACTCTACTTCGATTTAAAATAGCCTCAAAATTCTCATGCACAATCTGAACTTTAGGTTCATCGTAATCTCCTCTCAAGATCCCAACCAAATTCTCCTTCCTGAGCTGATGGTACTCAAACACTAACTGAGAAATAAAACATAAAAATGTATCAAACGTAACAAAACAGGAGAGGATAATGATAGGAACCACGAAAAAAAACCTGAACACCAGAACAAAGTCATGAACCGAAAACCAAGAAAAACACAAACAAAAATCTGAACGCACTACACTTGCGAATTCACTGTTCAATCAGTTCTTCGAGTAAAACGTTTGAAACACAAAACACTGAGTCGAGTGAAACTCACTCCACTTTCAGAGATCTAGAGTCGAAGCTAGTGGAAAATCCCCTACACGAACTCGAAAAACTGACAGTTCTTCGAAGTCGCCTTGCCTATACCCTCCGTGGAACGTCGACCCAACCTAAAGTAACCACCGTCTTAATGTTCTCAAATTCGAACTCGAATCCAACATCGATTTACTACTCATACTAACGTGTATACCCATGACAATCTTCATGAACACATATATTCATCAGATCACTTTATATATATTTATATATATATATATATATATATATAAAATGTAATTTGCTGCAAAACAAAGTCAAAGATTTCAGTACTTACTGCAAACCATGTACTTTTAGGTTATTTTTTCTTTTAAGTTGTTATCTAGTGTCACGAGAATCAATTCAACCAAGTTATTTTGACAACATGCATTGCATTTTATATAAAAACTTAAAAGTCACTAGTGTTAAAAAAATTAGAATAAGAGCATAACCAACTATAGACATATTGAATTCATTTTGATTTAATTCTTTCTTTCACCTAAATACTAAAAGAAATAAATCCTAAACATTAAATACTTGGAGGCATCATCTCTGTCACAATATTTCTTACATATTTTGAAAATACGTTCAAATGGTGTTTTGATTGGGTCCCTAGTTCTCGCTGTTAGCCTTTACTTAATTTTCAAATATCGGAATCGGCGGATCAGAAGGGAATGTGAGATTCACTCCAACAATGCTTTCGTTACTTGTCACTTTCTCCAACAAAATGCGTCATCCATCAGTGGTGATTGCTATGTTTGGATACACGAATTACCACCCCAGCCAATCAAATCTCCCTACTCTAGTTCTTTGATCTCTTTACGTTTGTATGGTCTACCTTTCAGACCTGCCAATGAATCAAATCTTCTTGTTTGCCCTCCATGCACATACTTAAAGTTCAAATCTCGATGTGTGAACCTCTCAGATTCCTCACCATTATCATCAATGGGTGTGGACATGTACTTGGTGTCCTCTTTCATCTAGATCAGGAACTTTTTACTCCGTTGTCTCAACGACAAAAAAACGTTAAGATCGTCTTTCACATTAGAGATACTACCACTCCGACTCAGAAATCATTAACAAATTGATTCTCGAACGTCAATTCTCTAACCAAAAAAAGCCAACACTTGGTCGTTGCATATAGCAATCCCTCAAAAATTCTTGGGGGTCGAACGCACCATTCGTTTGCAGGAGGGCGAGCAAAGAACGACATAGAGAAAAGAGAACTTCAGCCTCCCACATGCTCCGTGATGGAAAGTTGGATTCAAAGTTGCAAAGTAGTGGATCGACTGCTAGAAGCCGCACGTGGTCTTTTGCGTAAAAGATCGAGATGATGACCCACCTCGCAAGCTTTTAGTCTCAGAGTCTCCCTTTGCTTGTGGCCGCCTCTTGGTTGTTGACCGTCTCTCGTCAGAAACACTCGTACCTCTTGTTTGAAATAGTCACTTCTACCCTCATTGAAAACTGTAACTACTGTCCTTCCCTAGAAACCATAATCATTAACCTAGCTCAGCTACCAGTTGTTGTTTGAATCAGAACGTAATAAAAAACATTCACAATAAAGAATACACACAATCTTTAGGTGACTCATCTCAACAAATCTACATTTATATAAAGCACATAGTCTTTTACTCAAAACCTAATTTGTATCATATAGTACTCTTGTATGACGATATTTTATTTCTCCAAATAATCACTATATACACGTTCCAATGAATGTGGCTGAAATCCTGCATCATAGTCTCTAACCTGTACTCAATTTGACCATGAAACATCATGACGTGATGCTTGATAAACAACAGGTTTACGCTACGAGTTTTCCCCATCGACTGATTGACGGAAGAGGTTTGTCCTTGGAAGAAGAGAAGAGTGTCATAAAAAAAAGAGATAAATGTAAATTCCAAAAGGTATCGTCCCAGGGGTTTTCTCGTACCAGAACAACGAATGAAGCTGAGAGATGAGAGAACCGAAAAGAACTGAAAGGACAACTCACGAAATGGTGACCAGCCAAGCGGACGAAACGAGCATAACGAAACTGTTAAAAAAACTCGAGAAATAATCTCGGCCTAGCCTAACATCAGAGGATTCTACATTTTTCTAATCAAAGAACGAGGTGTCTGACGCAGGGAAAGCATACGAAACGAGGTTACACCTGTCTTAGGTGGGTACGGTTTTTGCTGAACCAAGGAGTCATGAATTATGTTCACACATTACTCTCGAATCAGATTGATGCTTAATACACACCTTCCTACAGTCGTAGTAGAGAAGAATGGTTATCTACACAAGAACTACCGGTTTACATCCTTGCCCGTGAGGATTCTCAAGAAACAATGCCAGGAACGTAGGACACGAGGGATGTAAATACAGGGTGTTGATGGTAGCAATCATCATGAAGACGATACTAACTCGATGCCCTTTGATTTCGCCGAAAGGTTGGTTTCGATACTTCGAGACTTTGAAGCGGTCTGATGTGGCTGCCTAGTACAGAGTAAATATCTTCATGCCTGAAACCTAAACAACAGCGCGATGAGCGTCATCTATAGTTAGTTGGCTATTTCCTGAATTGACTTACCTCTGGCCCAGAGTTATGAGGATCTACGGAAACATGCTTTCGCAGCAGCGTCTTGAGGTTTGAGAAGAATTCAAGTGACCAACTGTCCAAACAACTTACAGAAGGCACTATTTTCCGGGCGGTCTTGAAAGCATTCCTTCTATTTTGGAGATGCTAATCGTTCTGAGAAAAATTTGCGCCTTGATCTTGATTTCAAACGCAATCAATCTTATCTCGATTACAGGCTGAAATACCTTCTCTGCTCAAGACAAATCCTACAGCAAAGCGAGCTTCAACGGACAATATTGCAAGACAAAGGGAAGGAATACTGTTTCTTATTCGGTTTTTAACGAAATTCAAAGAGTGAGAAACAGGAAGACCTAACTCACAGCTCGCTTCTCCTACCAAAGCGTCCAATAGACACCAGATTGACGGTGGCGGGTGAACAAACGGAAGAACAGGTGCAACAGGAATAAGCGCATCTGGATCTTTTCAACTCTGCAAGCATTGATAGACAAAGAAATGTGATGCACCTGGCAACAATGATCAAAGTATAACACAACATCTTACTGAGCCGGTCGCCGAAGGTACCATACCAGCCGAGCGAGGGTGACGTCGAGATCATGTCAAGGTAAAGCATTACATCCGTGCACGTTGCCCGCAATCAATCTCAAAGCGATATTAGTAAGCAACCGATCTGTATCAATCCATCTCTGACACAAAGAAGACGCGAGCAAATTTTTTCAAACTTTTTTTCATCCTCACAGACCGCAAATCTGGCTTCAGGACGAATTCCAGTTTCTTGCCCGGACAGATTTTCCAAAGCAAGAGCTCCCGGCAAAGGGGCGGGCGAAAGGCAACGAACGAGCAAGAGAAACTTTTCTGCGAGAGCTGATTTCTGGGGCTTCCCCTACCCCGCCGATTTCTCCTGCTCACAGACCATCCTCGAGACGCGCTCATCTCGCGCGCGCGGCACCGGCGCCAGTGGCAGTCAGGTGACGGAGTCGTGCCAGCATCGGACGGCGTGTCATGCAGTCAGCAAGCTCGGGCGGCCGATTTCGCGAGCAGAAACGCAACTCCACACTTTGCCAGCCAGCGGATTCAACGTCTAACATGCAAAGCGCACTGTCAAAGGGATCGAGCGCAGCAGCCGACGAGATTCCCGAACACCCATGGACCGATGAAACTCATACTAACTCCGCTCAGCCAGGACGTTCTAGCCACTAATCGGACGGATAGAGATCGCTTCTGACAAAGATCGTAAGCGGAGCCGAGGGAGAGCAGCCGGGACTGGAGTTCCGACTTGGAAGCTTTCTCCCAGCGAATCGTCGACGCGCGCTGCCTCGGGCGAGACTCAGCGAATGCCACGTCGGCTCCACGTCACCCCGGACGCGAGGTCCTCGCGGGGTCGAAAATGTCCCTCGACGACTTTCCCCATTCGTAAAGCGAGTTCGATCTGATCCCAAGGTATCAGGAATGACTTCTAGAGAGGGCATGCAATCCAAGGCACAGTGGCCACCTTCGCAACGATGACGGTTCGGTCGATCGGCACTTACGTTACAGTACGCAATCCGTCCAGTGGTTGCAGCAAAAGCCGGCCGCAAAAGGCGCCGCGGGGGCGGGGCCTTGGGCTGGGCTCCGAATGCGGCGAGGCAAAGGACCACAGGCTCGTTCTCCAACCGCTTGTGGTTGCTCGAGTTCCAACCAGCGCCGGATCTGGCCACGGATATCGTCTGCTCCGGTGGTGTGCGAGATACGGTGGGGAGGAGGCGACCTGAGCAACTTGAGGGAGAGCGGAGCCGTGAAGCGTAGAGCAGTCGGGAGCAGTACCGTACAGTACCGTACAGGACAAGAGTACTGGCCAGGAGAGGACACGGGCCATGGAGGCATCCGTTCAGGGATGCAGTCGTATGCGCGGGGAAGAGAAGGGGAGCCGCATGAGCTCGGCGAGTACGACACAAGGCACAGAACAGCTGCTGCTGCATGTGGCCCGAAGGGCTAGGCGATCCGCCAAGGGGAGCCCGGACCAGGACAGATGCCGGTCCTACCTCCGTCTGCTCTCGGTCACCTCTTCCATGGCACCGCTTGTGCGGCAGCAGCTGGTGCACTGTCGGCATCGAGCGAGAGATGGCCCGCCAGTCGTACCTGGATCAGGCTCGGACTGTGCTGCTGTCCGGTTCGGCGAGAGCTCTGAGAGGCGAGCGAGGGAGGGCAGAGCTTGTGCGCAGAGAGGCGGTGGTCATGAGGCCAGAAAGTCGGACGACAAAGGAGAATTCTTCCAGCGTCAGGGCCGGGCGCTCGCTGCTGGGAGCGAGGGCTGCTAATAAATGTCGAGCTATGGCGAGGTGTGGTTGACATCGGCCAAATTGGCTGCACGGCCCTGGAAGCAAGGAAGGATGCGGGCGAGGTGAGGGAGGGAGGGAGCGCGGGGTGGCGGAAGAAAAAAGACACACATGCTGGTGATCGAAGGAGTTGTTGGGTTGAGCGCCAGTCATGATGCCTCTGGACTCGTGCTTCACGGCGGGTGGACGACCAGCTCGTGACACGGAGCGCATTCGGATATGACAGATGGCCGAAGCATGCGGAGGAGGAGTCGAGGCGAAAATTCCAACGCTCGCAAATGTGAAGTACGCGAGGGCAGGAAGCGAGTGAGGAGCTGGTCCCATACCAGACCATCCCAGGACCGATGCGCACACATTCATACGGGCGCGCTTGACGAATCGAGAGCGTCGCAGCGGGCCTCCCCACTGATTGACCACCCACCTCCCTGAGGCTCGCCGCGCACGGACGCGTCCGGGCAGCAGACCCCGAATTCATGATCTCATCTCCGACCGCCCCCCCCGCGCCCCCCTCCTCACGAACGGCATCGGCAACGGGCATTAGCGCGTCCGCTGAGCTGACCCAACAACCCAACAACGACGAACGAACGAACGACCGACCGACCGACCGACCGACTGACTGACTGACCATCTTCGACGAGTAAGATGAGATAAGGCTCGCGGGCGGAGGGCTCTTTCCCATCGAGTATCGAGTATGGGCAGGCGAGGTCCACGGATAGCTCTGGATCCGTTGCCGCTCGATCGCTCACTTGCCCCTCTGCTCGCCCGCCTCTGCTCGCCGGCGGAAATTCCTGTTTAAAACTCGGCTCATGTTCCGAGACGCCACTGCGTCGGCTCTCTCGGAAGGCCACGCAAAAAATCCCGCATCCGGTTGCAGTAAAGTCTGTCGAGGAAGGGGGCTGGCAGTTCCCCTCCTCCCTTCCCCCTCTGTCTCCATATCTGTCTCTCATTTCTGGTTTTGGTAAAAGGGGCGGCGACTGCCTTGAGCTCGGCTTGGCTCGGCTCAGGAGTGCGTGCTCGCGCAGGCTCCCGCCGCCCCTCGCCCTTCCTTTCCCGACGACGTCGAAAAATTTTGTAGTTAGTTTGGAGTGAGACGCTGCAGGCGCGATTGACTTCGATTGCACGCGCGGCCCGGGAACCTGCTTCCAGCATGGACATGGACTTTAAGTTACGGGACTTGCGGGACGACGAAAGCACGGCGGTGGGAGTTCGGAGTAAGAATTGGAAGGGCGGAGTCGATCTGGACGAGAGAATTTGGCAGCTCCTTTCCGACGAGCACATCGATAGAATACGAGCATTCCTGCCGCCGTCGAGCCTGTTTCGCTTCCGATGCGTGTGCAGGCGGTGGAACCTGCTCACGGCGGATTTGGGCTTCCTCGAGCTGTACAGCCAGGTCGCGTTCTCGAATCCCAGCGTGCTCGTGATTTCGCACGACAACAACCACCGAGTGAGTGCATTTTTCCTCGAATCTCTGACCAGATGGTACAAGGTGCCGCTGGATTTTCTTCCGGAGCAGGCGTGCCTGCCGCTGGCCACGGACGGCGGCCTGCTCTGCGTCGGCTCGTTCCAGGCGAGCGACTGCCTGTACGTGTGCAATCCGCTGACCAAGAGCTGGCTGCTGCTGCCGGGGTGCCAGCTCCGGCAGGTGTGTAAGAAGGTGCGCAAGCCGCTGGTGAACATGACGGTGGACCGGAGCAGCCGCACGTACAAGGTGCTCGTGGTTTGCGACCCCAGCCACACCAACAACCTGTCGACGGTCGTGAAGATCTACGACTCGCGCACCGGGCAGTGGGCGAGCTTCGAGAACCGCATGCCCGTCAAGTCCAACCTGGCCTCCACCAGCGTGGTGCGCGACGGAGTGCTATACTGGTGCACGCTGTTCCCCGACGGCCTGTACTCGTACGACCACCGCCGGCGAGTCTGGAGCTTCCAGCCCATCGCATTCCCCCGCCTGTTCACGCCCTTCGGCGAGGCGCATCTGATTCTGCTCGAAGGGCGCAGCCTGGGGCTGATCGGGCTCAAGGTCGGCGGGCGCAACTTCGCCATCGGCATCTGGAAGCTGAACGAGGCCGGCAGCGCGCAGGATGGCAGCGAGCAGGACGAGTGGGAGTGGCAGGAGATGGCCTGGCAGTCGCCGCCCTCGTTCCGCCGGTCGCAGTGCGAGTGGAGCGGCCTGCAGGGCTTCGGCCACGAGAACATGGTGTGCCTGGCGTCGCGGAACACTCCGAATTGGGTTCGCTACGACCTCGAGCAGAGCTCGTGGTTCACGGGCGAGCCCGCGCCCCACCCTCCTCCACCAGCCCACGGCCCTCCTCCCTACCCGCGCGTCCTCAACCACAACTGGTGCTTCTACGAGCCTAGATTGAACATTTGTGCTTAGCCCTCGGCTCGGCTCGGCTCGTCGCAGCACGCACACGATTCTCAGTATCGATCCTTCCTTCATTCCTTCCTTCCTTTCTTCCTTCCTTCCTTCCAGCCTTCTCTTTTCTTGCCCACGAGGAACGTATGAGCTTTCAAGACGCGATTGAGCTCTCTGTAGATACAGCTTTTGGCCCACGTGCGTCAGTTTTCCTCGCACGAGGCAATTGTCCTCATCCCTCCCTTCCCTGCTCTGCTCTTGCTCGTCAATTCGGACCCACGGTGATACATTGCGGGTGGATTTTATACATCGGAGGAGGGCTGGACAAGAAATTACCCCGGTTCCTTCTGTTTCTGAGCCGAGAACAACGTCCGGCCGGTAAGCGGTGGCCACCTCTCCATCTTTCATGAACTTTTTGTAATTACTTGTATGTACACGATGGGCAGCGGAGGAATCGAGACGGACGAATTGCCTCATTTTCTGTTGCTTGCACAGGCCAGGCCTAGATAGATTGCGTATGTCGAGACACAGCGTTATGTTGTATGTATAGAGGAGGGGGAGGAGGAGGAGGAGAAGAAGAAGAAGAACAGAAGATAAGAGAAGAATCCGAGTTATGATGTACATTATTCCCACACACATAGATAGTATTAGCAGCAGCAGCAGCGGACTATGATATGCCGTTGAAATTGTGGATTTTTAGCGTACGACTAAAAATGTACTGGGTTGGCATTGAGTCAGTCGTGGTGGCAATATACTTATACCAATATGATAACAGAAATATCGTTCACAATATTCGCATTCATCATGTGCATCTCCGTGTCCGTCTCTTGGTGTTTCACAGCACTAGCGGTCAAGACTGTTTCTAAGTTGAGTTCATTTCCTGTTACATTCTCGAGAAGACAAGAGGTGCTCAAAGGGCATCCGGCACGATGTAAGATGTGTCCCACGCAGCAGCTAGCAGAGCCTTCCAAAAACCACACCTGTATGTATGTCGTCGTGTAGAATTTCTCACGAGCCGTAGACCTTTGGCATCGGGACACATTCCACCCTCGATGACCGACCGACATAGAGACAGCCGGACAGCCAGACACATGCGGAGTCAGACACGGCAAGTGTTGTTCAGAGATGCCCATCGTCGTCGTAGGTGCCACTCGAAGTCGCCCAGACTGAAGGTTCTAATTCCACCTGGTGGTGAACAGTGGGTCGCAGCTACATCAGCTACTCCTTCAGCTACTATCCTCCTCTCGACCCCAGACCGGGCTTTGTTGATGTTAACGCGTTGCTTCACATGCACTCGAATTCGGATTCCTGCCCCGTGAGATGCTTTAGAAAATCTCCGTAGCCTGGGACACCATCGCCATCGCACCAAGTGCAGACCTGTCATCGGGTTCTGAGCTAGCCTTCGAAGGATGCGAGGGTAATCACTAACATAGTATCTCACGGAACATTTTCAAAGAGTTTGACTCGCAATGTGTTCAATGCTCGAGCTGATGAAGGAGGAGGAGTAGAGAACGACGACGATGACGAGATTGGTGAGACAGGAAGTCGTTTGGCTAACCGATTGTCTGTTGGGCTACAGTGGTTAGCGCAGCTTAGGATAACGAGACCGGCTCGCAGTGGCCAGATGCCGGAACGTGATGTGAACGCGAGGGCGTGGCAATCCAAGCGTATGCTGCAGCTGCTGCTGCTGCTGCTGATACCAGTGCACACTCGATGTTCGTGAAGGATCCACGACAAAACCCGGGGACAAGCGCTTGAGGACGAACTCGATGGGATCACGACCAGTGAATCAGGATAATGTAGTTCAAAATCTTTTCTTTTGGCTCTTACGATGCCGTTCTCGATCTGATCATCACTCAAAGTCTACGAGACATGTCTCCATGTTCCAAACGAGTCTAATTTCTCGGGTGGACTTTCGAGGGCCTCAGAGACTCGGACAGCGAAGGAAGCGGGCAAGCGGTTGTCTACCCACTGCTGCGATCATTTTCTCAGGACTGAGAGCTTCTCAGGGCTTGGAACCTCTCCAGCCTTCCATGCCAACTACACGTGTTCTCCAACGGGTGAACTCCAACTCTTGTGCCCGTTCCATGTCAGCTTTGGACAACAACCCAGAACCTTGTCCTCACGCAAGAGGACAACGCCGTGTAACCAGAAATCACCGCATCTGAACTTCCACTGTTTCTGCAGCTGCTCTTGTGAAGGAAGGAACCCGCTCTCGCACACATTCAACACATGCTCTTTCTCACAGCAGCGCATCTATGTGTGTACATGATCCACTGCACTCGCGAGCTCACCACTATCACCTGATGGGGTTGTTACGAGCGTTACTTCTCTGTGTGAGAATCATGGGACTATCTTCGGCTTGTCGAGTTGTCAAGTCTTGGAGGTTGGACTAGTTGAGTTCTAATGTTTCAACTCTCCAGTCACCTGCAAGCACACAGGATCCGGCCATCAAAACACGCCTCATCAAATGGGCCTTCGAGCTTTACCTTCTGTGGCAGCGACATAGAACTACGGTCGCCCGCCTAAATCGAATAAAATGTCTTTTGATTTCTGGTCTACTTCAAATCAACTGTAATGAAGTCTCTCGAGGTCGGAAACGATCCCTTGAATTAGAGAAGAAATTTCATGTCTACGCATTCTGGAAATAGTCACCAAGTAGCTCCTGTTGGCCCGGCAGTGGCCTGAGAATACAGCAGTCCTGTCCATAGGCTTTCACGACATTCAGACGATAAGATATTCATGCATAAGTTGTTTCAGACGGTGAGATACCGGGATCAGAGAACAATTGTTACAATGAAGCATATTGTAACGTGCAGTATTCTGGATCTAGTTTCATACATGGATCAATCTATTATTGGAGATCCGTGTAATTCTTTGAAAGTGATAGTAAGCCCGGAACCTGGAGGACGGTAAGCAGCACGTCCGAATTAGTGAAAAGTAGGCTTTGAATCCATGCCATGGTCGCCTTGGGTGCTCGACACTATACGCAGCGATAAAAGGCACATGTGGAATTGATATGAGCCCGGATATATATATAAAAAAAAAACAGTTATACTGCGAGATCTTCGATATAATGCAGAAGTGCACCGACCACAGATGCGAAGGGCATGGCTGGGTTGCCAGGCTACTGGCCGAGAATATTCAGACGAAGCAAGCAAGCACTCGTGCTATAGAAAAGGGAGCATGGAAAAATCTCCTCGGCCTGGGCAACCAAAAGAAAATGTAGCACCTAGCCACCGAAACTGCCGCGGGTCTCCTCAGCACAATGTAGTTTACTTCCGGTCCACAGACTTCTGGGACGCATATCCTGCTTCGTCACCAGCCAGACCGCTTGCCTAAGACACACAAGTGCTTTCAAGAACCGATTCGCTGCGCTAATGCCCGCTTGTCAGGCATGTGCGGGACTAAAGTGTACCAAATCAACAAGGCCAGTTGATTAGCATATGAAAACAAACAAAGAGAGCTGGCGCAATTCTCTGCTGCCTGTCAGTTCGCGCGTCAGTCCGGTACTTGCGACCCACGACAACGATCTGAAACTTCGACGTCCGAGGAGTTTTTATCTATGGAACAAGCCAGCAACGCAGCCTCCAGTCCGTCCTTGCCCTGCCTGTCTTCTTACAGGCGCTTCCAGAACTCAAATCTACTCTAAGCTACTCCCCATTACCCAAGAAATCGGTTCAAAATTTCCTCTTTTCCACAAGAAAAAATCCTCAGAAGTTACAGATCAGGGGGCCGAAACGAAATCAGCCGCTGCACTTCGTGATCTCTACAGAATGCGTTGGAATACGACGGAAGAGCTTGACACCACCTCCCCTGTCACTCTCACTCACGTGCATTCCTGAGAGTTAATTCATGATAGCGTAGAAAAGAAACTTAACATGTAGAACTTCAGACCGATGTGCATTCTTGTCTGAAGAAGACGACGAGGTTGGATAATCCAATAACAACGCGGTGGCCCCATTAGCTCGAAAGTGGAGGTCTTGAGCACGGAGAGAATCGAAATTGGAACACTGACTCTGAGAGAGAAATGATGGGAAACACTTTGCACGAACAAAAGCACGAAAAGAAAACTGACAAAAGCACAAACAAAAACCTGAACACAAGAACAAAAGCACGAACAGAAAACCAAGAAAAACACAAGCAAAAATCTAAAAACATTACATTTACGTATTCACTGTTCACTCAGTTCTTAGAGTAAAAAGTCTGAAACACAAAACACAGATTCGAACCAAACTCACTCCACTCTCGGAGACCTGGAGTCGAAGCTAATGGGAAAATCCACTATGCGAAAGGCTCAACTCGAAGAACTGACAGTTCTTCGAGCTTGCCTCGACTATACTCTCCATCGAGAGTCGACCCACCTCAACGCTCCTCGACCGTAAGCCGCGTCCCAACGTGGATCCGACTCAAATTCGAATCCAACGTGCATACACATGACATCCAACCAACTGGATAAGAAGTCCTTCGATGCTAAACCTACTCTCTCGAAGGCCACCATATTGGTGCCCATCGAAGTCGACTCATGGCATCAGCTTCTTAGTTTCAGTATGTAATTAATCATCATGAACTTGGCTGCCGGGTCGACCAACCACCACAATTACAATGTAGAGAGTCCGGGACGAGTTTCAGGTCTTAGAGCACTCCCGAAACTACTACATATTTACATGCTTCGCTGCGAGTTCCTAATTCACTCCAAAAGTTCACTCGTGCACCAACTTTCAGGTTTGACAAATCTGCCTCCCTTTTCATGATGAACCATTAAGAAGAGCTCCTCGTTGTTATACTGCAAGCTGTGTGCCTCAATTAAAGGCCCGTGGAAACTTGGAATCTCACCCAATAACTATTCTTCTCCACTTCGTGATTTGATGTGCCAGTGCACTGACATTCTAAATTTAGGAAGCCAAGGTCAGCGATCTTGTCTCCATATTCTCGCTACAGGAAGGGAGATGCTTGGGTGCTCGCTGAAACAAACTGCCGTTCCGTTCCCACATTTTTGGATTGTTGGAAATATCATTTGGGACACGACACAGAAGTGAGATCCGGGTCTGTGAGCGCTGGTCATGGTGGTAATGGTCATGGTCTCACTATCGGATGATCGACGATCGATCGGGTCTCCAGTGGTTATTAGTAATGACGCGAGGTTGGAACAGTGCTTCAGTATTTTACTTCTGTGGGTCCTGTGCTCCATGGAAAGCCAGATTCACCAGAACTGCATCTGACGGACTTCTGATCATTCTCACTAACCTGAACTCCATTAGACTTCTGTACTTGGCATAGTGACAAACAGGCTTAAGTTCTGCACTAAATGTCTTTCTCCTGTCCTCTTCCATATCAGAACCCTGTAAGAAGTTGACGTGTTTAGGATAATCAACTGCCCTCCATGCAAGTCGTTCTCTCGGTTCTACCTGATCTCACGTAGTACTAGTCTTGAGAAATCTCCTTCGAGGAACCAGAAGGACAGAGAATTGGTGGTATTGCATGGAAAGGAGTACTGCACTGTTCTAGGAGAAGAATGAAAAGCAGGGGCAGGAGCTGCAGTTCACACAGCATGGATATAAACCAACCCACCTGATCCAATGAAAAGTGAGAGGGCTTGGTTCCTTTCGACTCCCTCGTTTTCTTTCTCTTCTCGATCAGATTGTGTCGTGCCAGTTGAATGTTCACACGGTGGTTTTGCACCGTCACCATGGTGGTCCATCTCGAAAGAGCCCGTAAAAAGTCGCTTCCGTTTTCGTCTCCACTACGATGGAAAGAGAGATTTGTTCAGGCCAAACATGATTTTGAGTTGTCTACGCATCTGACTGCTAGAAGTGTCGAGCATGCATTGGATTGCCTTGAGGAAACGGATCGTCATTCAGCTTTGTAAACATCCATCATATCTGCCATGTTCCTAATCTTTGAATTTTTCTTGCGCATATGTTGAATCCTCTCCTCAGACAGAGAATTATGCCAAATTTATGATCTAAATACAACTGACGCATATTTTTCTCAAAGTACAGCCACAAATTTATCTATCTCGGAGAAGCTTTACACCCATCGTTTCCAAATCGAAATCGTAGGTTCATTACAGAATATTACATGTAATACTACTTCATAGTATGTTCTCAGTCTTCGTTGACCAATGGGTTATGACCAGAAAACTCATGTGAAGAAGATCCAACTTAGAGGGTCAAGCAAACCGCTTCAACCATTCAGCACAATTTACATTTGTACGTCTGAAAAAGTCTCTACAACCTACGTGAAAACTTTCAAGGTCAAAGTATTAACGTCTGAGCATGTCCCAAATACACACACATGAGATTAACATATGTTGTTGAGAAGAATATAACAAACACTTTATATCTCATTTTGTATATATTTGTGTGTACAATTCGATTTTTAAACCGAGTATAGTACTCCGGTTTTATGAATTCTCGTATCAAAGAATTCCAATAAAAATACGTTTCACCTTTGCACAGAAATAAAAAAATTCTGTAAGAGATTCTAAAAATAAATATCACTCTTATTATTTTCTAATTTGATACTATTCTTTGCAAAAAAAAATTCAATTTTGATACAACCTTCTTCCTAGTGAACACTCAAGTACTTTGAGTTTTGATGAAACCTTCCCTCCTATCATACATTGACGTATCTTTGAAATTAGAAGTCATTTGTGCCTGAAACAAGGCCGTCCCAGTAAACACCGTTACGGCTTAACGCGTGCACCACGTCTTCAACGTTAGCCGCAGTGCAGGACATGGAGCCGGCAGACTCAGGAAGCCCCAAACCTCGGCTGCCGCGCTGGTTAAATCTCGGACTTCCACTTCCCTTTGCCTTTCCCTTGGTCAGGCTTAGCTACGAAAAGTGAACTTAGTCAGTCGGTCCGTCACTTCCTCCTCGAGCGGCCGTAGCAGGAGCCTGGGATCACATGCACCTCGCCTCCACTAACGTCTTGGAAATTAAATTTCAAAACCCCCTGCCCTTCCTTCTTGCCCACGCTTCAGATTTCGAAGCCATCAGAATTCGCACTGCCTCTCTTTCTCTTATACTTTTTCCGATGCACACCTCTCTCGTTTCCTCTAGTTGCTTTTTTGGAACACGGTAGCTTTGAATTCCGTGTACCCATTCAGAAGTTCGAACAGACCCGAGTCTATCTTGGACGGAAGAATTGAATGCGTTCTCCTTGATTTCACTGTAATAAGTGACAGGACCTGGCTGCGCGCATTTGTGTTTCTTGCTTTATTTTATTCTATGAAACAGGCTTTCAGCCTTAACTCCCTCCGTTTATCCAACATGGTTTCACGAGCTTGTCGACAAAATCCTCTGGCCAGTGAGGCGATTGTGGTCGGTTATGTTGGGCACAAAGTGCTTTGTGTTTCGGAAGGATTGTCATGAAGTTACGCTCGATAGCGGGGATGTGGTTCATAGACGACCAGCTGTTGCACATTGCGGCGGACGTCGGGCCCGTCTGAAATGGTGACCTGGAATGAGGAACTGCATAATGTGGAGAAATCAGGGGCGAAATTGAGCAGGAAACAGAAAAGTTGATGATGTGTCACTCAACTCAATGATGTGCGCAACTTTGGGAAAGGGCATAACAGCTTTAAAACTAGCGCATAGCAGGCGCTGACACGTTGCTTCATTCATGCTTCCTCTTCTGGATTACTTCTGTCTTTACTGTCTGTGGTACGTTCGAATAAGACATCCTTAATGAACAGCCGCTGAACGACTCCCATGTTCACAAGCCAACTTTCGATTGCCTCAGATCGGATGAAAGAGATTATCTGAGCCTCTTCTTACTTGATGTGATTCAAGAACGAACTGGAAGGTGTTTCCCATTCAAGAGACGAAATAAGCCTGAAGTTAAAACTGTTTGCAGCTGGTTATTCTTGTATCTATCCAAAGGTGAAGGGTTTTTTATCCCTGTTGTCACCTACGTTTCAATGTAAATTGTGATGAAATTTATGAATTGCAAGCCTTACCGTCATACGGTATGGCATGCAATTAGAAAACTTCATGCTGAGACGTTTGAGTCAACTCAAACGTGTCAGCATTCTTAAAGTTGCGCGGAATACTCGACCATGCAACTGTGATTGTATGCGATCTTTCTGATCATACTCGTCATTATTTCTACCTTGTCTTTTCTCGACCTTCGCTGCACTACTCCGAAGAGAATTATGTCACCATCTCACCTTGGCGAGCTTCTCCCTGGACATTAGAAGGTAATTAGTCTTTGCTTGTCTTCAGAATTGAACATCTCCAGGAACTGATGTTTAGCCACATCAGATCAAAGCGAATTGCAAAAGTTTCCTAGGCAGAATTCGGAAGACAGACAGGCAGAGGCGGTGGCACAGAGAGAGAGATGTTCGACTTAGCAACTCTGGTGCTGGCCGTTGCAACCAGCGTGTTTGTCTACTTGTGGAGAGATCGATGGCGACAGCGTAATCAATTGGTACCCAAGACTTGGCCATATTTCGGTAATCTCTTCGAAATGCGAACGAATGCCGCACGACTTTATGACTGGGTCTATGAGTACATGAGCAAATCGCCCACCGGAACTGTTGAGGTTTCTATTGGTACTCTGAGAGCTATAATGGTGGGTCGGCCTGACATTGTAGAGCATATTTTGAAGACGAGGTTCAACAATTACATCAAGGCAAGAGCTATGTCCCAGTCGGTTACTAAAAACTATGCTGTGTCTTTTGTCTCTCAAGCGGCATGCTAAAATTCATTTGTTTAAAACTGTTTTCAATTCTCCATTCGTAGCTGTGTCGATCACAACACTAGTAGGTACAAATTTCGTTTACTGTATTCATAAAATTCATTTGTTCCGATCACATCATGTTATTTAATTTGCGCTACATTGCTTGGTTGATGTTCTGCCTAGCACTATGATAAGATAGAGCTGCGACGACAAATGGATGTGTCAAAAAAGAAGTGCGTATTCACGAACACTTAATGCTAGGAAAAGGTTTTAAATTGAGATCGGAATCGATCTGTATCACATGGAGCTATCACGGCAGAAACATTAAGTGAGATTCTGGGAACTGGAATCCTTAACGCTGATGGTGACGTTTGGAAACAGCATCGAAAGCTTGCCAGTTATGAATTCTCGTCGATCAAACTCAGGGAGGTCAGCACGGAGGCCTACCGTGAGCTTGCCCTCCGTCTTCTAACATTTTTGGACACGGTCGCTGACTCTCATAAGCAAGTAGACATACAGGTTCTTACGAAAACCTACACACTCTTATGATAGAGGTCGGATTTCCACCTTGTTGATCTGGAGCTATTCGAGGGTTCAAGTGCAAAGTCCCGACCCACAGTTTCTGATCAGAAGTATCCTACTTTTGTCTGCTTCTCGTTTCATCTGTTGGCAGAAGACACATCCTAGCTCTTTCTCCGCCTATTCTCTTCGTCTTTGATAGTTGCAAGTCAGGTTCTGTCAAACATTTGATTATGCACTGTTGTCATGACTTGACGAATAATTTAATTATAATGATCATCTTTTGTCAATACTTGAGGAATTTTGCAGGACCTGTTTTTGCGCATGACAATGGACGGTAAAATCGGTTTCGGTGTGGACCAGCACACTTTGAGTCCAGACTTACCAGAAGCTAAGTTTGCAAATGCATTTGATAAACTCGCAGAGTTGTCCGTGTCCAGATTGATTTAACTTGGAAACTAAAACGGAGGTTGAATATTGGCAGAGAGAAACAGTTATCGTTCATATACTCTGTTATTAAGAATCGTCGAGAAGAAATCACCAGGCTGGAATCCATGAAAAAAACTTTGGTTAGTAAACTCTTCACTCTAGAATATTTTACTCGGTACTTCCTTGGTACATTCTACAAAATTACATGAAAACCCTGGTGTGGGTTGTATGGTACAGATTCAACTCTCAAATCGTAGTGTTTTGAATAACGTCTCCCAAATATGTGATACTGTAGAGCTAGCCCATCATGGAGTAAACTTGGAATGTTTCATCCCATAGAGGGGAAACAAAATGTATCTATATCACTTTCTCGGTCTTTACAGGAATCTGGGCGTACCGTTGGTGGAATCTTGCTTAACTTGCCAATAAGATGTTAGGTTCATAGATGACGGAAAGTAAAGTGTTCTTATGTCGGGGTCTTTCCTTGTTGGTGGATGGTTTGTTTCCTTGCGCAGGATAAGCACGATTTGTTGTCAAGATTTTTGAGTAGTAAAGATCAGAATGGAGAACCGTTGTCTGATAAGGTGTTACGGGATGCTACCGTGAACTTTCTTCTCGCCGGAAGGGATACAACTGCTCTTACTTTAGGTTGGTTCATGTACTTGCTTTCCTGCAACCCTGAGGTTGCCCAGAAGTGCGACCAGGAGTTGAATGAAGTTTTTGGCGAAAGGGAGTAAGATGACGTGGGTAGAGGAACTCGTAATTTTTCGAACTTCGCAAATTCTCTTACTTTCGACGCTCTTGGAAAACTCCATTATATTCACGCTACTTTGAGCGAAAGTTTAAGACTGTATCCACCTATTCCTTGGGTATTTACACTTAACATTATCTCTCAGTCTCATAGAATCTTCACGATAGAATATAATCGAAGCAGACCTGAAGTCAGTTAAAGTCGAACGGACTTGAACCTGCAAATATTAGGTAGTTAGATCAGTGGCAACATACTTCTGAGTTTCTCGGGGTTCTTGCCATCTTTAGCTCTTTAACCTCTTTCAGAAACGTTTTCGGTATCTTCTATGCAGTTTCAAAACCATTACCATGAAAGTGATGCTTGTGTGCAACATTTTGTGATGTAATGTTTACAATTACGCAGCTGTGTTGAGAAGAGGGCGTCAATTCTTTTCAACATATTGAGCATTTTATTCAATGCAGGACTGCCCAGCCGGATCGTTGGGTTCAAGGTTCAAGCAGGCGATTGCTAATTAACAGATTCTTCGAACTGCAGGATGGAAAGTTTGCGGTAGACGATGACGTTCTACCTGACGGCACAATCGTGAAAAGGGGCGAGGTAGTCGTATACGTCCAATATGCCATGGGCAGGATGGAACTTCTCTGGGGTCCAGATGCTTCGCAGTTTCGACCAGAGCGATGGTTGAAAGACAATGTCTATCAACCTGAATCGCCATTTAAATTTTCTGCTTTTCAGGTACCCGAACCATCAAACTTTATTTTGGAGCAGGGAATCTGCTCGTTTCAAGTGATATTTGGTTACTCAATGTACAGCATGTATGTTTCTGGCTTGATTTCCTAGATCTTTGAATGCCTTTTTACTCTTATGATGCTGGGTTTTGTCAATACCGCGGAATTTATCTTGAACACTTCATCACCAGAAGCCTTCTGACTTCGAGGAGATGAATGCAGGCGGGCCCACGAATTTGTCTGGGGAAAGACACTGCGTACTTACAGATGAAGATGACTGCGGCGTTGCTAATTCGATTTTTCCGAATCCAGGTCGTGCCCAACCAAGATGTAGCTTATCGCGTGAGTTTAGTATTGGCAATCCGTGACGGGTTACAGGTCACCGTGCAGCGTAGGTAGCTACTTGAGGTCGTAACAGCTTGCTTCGCGCACTTCTCACATTCGCTGCCAACAATCATCTATGTGCAAAATGCTGTATTTTCCTCACATCCCTCGCCTTCATCCATATCTCGTATCTAAGAGACAATAATTGAGTCGTCTTTGTCTCGTCACCGTGCACCGGTCTTGCGGTCTTCAGTGTCCCCCCAAGCTCTTTCACCAGTTTGGCATGACCAATTGATAACCTACAGTGTACCCGAATGACGACTGCAAGAGAGTCGATTCTTGCTCGAGTGAACTAGAGTATCAATTTCCGGCCTCTGAAACATAAACAAATTGTTGACATTTGGCAGGTTCAGTATATCTTTTGTAGAACTGAATGTACCTTCTAATGATTTTTCCATTAGTGACATTTTCCCATCAATTCCATGCGCTTGGACTGATCAGACCTTCCGTTGACATTCACAACAGTGATCATCTTTTGCACATCGACGGCTGAATTCCCTCTTTCAAAATTTAGACCACTTCCTCTAAAAAGATCTTCATTGGTCGACATTGAATGCCTTACATTTACTGTATAAGCCAGTAGACGATTTGAAACTAGTTCTTTCTTAATTACTGTAGACTTTCAAGAGAAAATAAGTGACTGTCGTGCAATGTAACCCAATTCTTGAACTTGAACAAATAAATCACAAGCGGGTTACTTCTTCTCGCACACCACACATAATTCACCTATAAATATCTGAATTGCTCTGCAGAACTAACGTTGTTGAACCATTTCGTTAATTGTGGCACCCAACATTTCGTTTAGGGCATTTGTGACATTTGTATTGAAAAACTGTTGTGACAGTCTTGAAACCATAACAGATTGAGATTTAGGCAGGGGAGTTTCTAGTTGGCTAATTTAGGTTCCGCCCTCATGTTATGTTCACGGCACACCCATATCCATCGATATCTAAGGAGAACAGGTCGCATGATTATTCACGCTGAGGACACTCAAAGAAATTAGTTCGAGGTTGCTGATCCTAACAATGAGGAGATTAGAAAACTTTCTCATTATACATTATACTCTTTTCTTCGGAGGCAAGACTCAAACTCCCTTTCAAAATCTAGGCGAGGTTCCGCCGAGAAGGAAGGAGGTATTTCCTTCATCCCACTCCAGTTCTTGGGATGTACAGACGAGGTATGTCAGTTCACAAACCATAGTACTAATAAACGGCGATACGTTGTACATCTCACTCCAGTTCTTCGGATGTGAATGCGATGTATCTCACTTCACAAACCATAGTACTAATAAACGGCGATACGTCGTACATCTCACTCCAGTTCTTCGGATGTAGATGCGATGTTTCTCACTTCACAAACCATAGGACTAACAAACGACTATACGCTGTACAAACATCCAAAGTGTGAATTTCGTGATTGAACAACTCTTGCCCAACGTCGAATTTTCAAAGGAGTGTACCGCACTGTCCGGGAAAACAGCCAAGTGCAGAATCGGGTGTCACCCGTCTTACAAACACATGCTCTTTGGTACCTTCTCATCCCAGTGTAACTTTGACTTTCTTCCACCTACCTCTCACTCACGCACTCAAAAACCCACTACCAGAACATAATGCGGAGTTGATCTCCATGCTATCTACGAACTCGCGACTTAATGAACAGACAGATTCTATCAGTTGATCATGAGTAACTTTGATTTTTGTCCACAATCGACTCCAACATACTCGCCTCTCGTCAATGTGGTGTAATGCTTGATTGTTTAGTATAATTACATTCTTCAGTGAATTAAAACATCGCAATTCAGTTGCAAAAATTTAATTACTTTCGTTTGCAAAAATCTTCTTGTCACATAATGAAATTAGTCCAATTCAATATGACCTGTGTATCACATCTTCATATTGAAAACATCAAAAAAAAGCTTTTAAAACGATATTTTGTCGCGCTTCATGATGACCAGAAACAACCTTCGCAAATTTGCTATTCAATTATCTTTCGTCCATTTCACGAAAGAGTAATCAAATTTGATCAAGTATGTGTTTGCAAAGAGATTCGTCAGATCTTCATTAAAATTCCTCAACAGTACAAATCCGATGGAATTGTGTTTCTCAATTGATTTGATGTACTTTCAAGCATCATTGAAAAATGTCTTCACGTGAAGATTTGAAGGATGGTTTTTACGGCAAGCTCGTTTTTTTGACGCGTTTAGCAACTCTCTCAGTTCTTCTTTGATCTAATTGATATACTCCAATGATCACCATTCAAAACCAATCCAAAACTTCACGGATGAATTTTTGTATACTAAATTTGATAATGTTGTTAGGTGTAACTAACAATGCTTCAAGCTTAGGAGCATTGTTGGTTGAGTCACGCTCCGTCTTAATTGGTTAACATTTGATAAAGCAAAGTGATCAATTACCTTAATAATGTTGTTTTCAATATTGTGATACAAATTTTTTGTAAAGATTCATGAAATCTAATCATCAATATGATCACAAATAAAATCAAACAATATACAATTGTCGTCATTGAACAATATAGATTCCAAATCTTGATACTCGACATTATTGAAGATAAAAAATTATTTTGAGCAAATACCAATTTTGTATATATTTGTCCAATTTAAAATGTCGCTGCAAGATGATATATCATGCAATTACGAAGTTTTGAATGTGATTTGTATCATTGCAAAAAGTGTTATGTCATTGTTGCATCTCATAATCAATGATACATCATTTATTGAACGGCGCTTGCACGGTGGACTTTTTCTCAATGTGTTGATGAATTTTTTGGCGGTTCTGTAAACTCTATTTGAGTAAACTACCAAGTGCAATTCATTATATCATATATTTATGACATTCCTATACTTTCATGATGTCGATTAGATTGACTTGCGTCCTTAGGTCTATAAAAAACACAAGAGTTGCCTTATAAAAATTGCCAACTTCAAAATTATTGATTACTTGTTTGACAAGAATAAGTAGCTAGTGAGTAGGTCATCAAATGGAGAGAAATTTTTTTAATACATAATCATCAACCCTATGACAACTTCTTTGTCATTGTATTTGCTTTGTCATTGTATTTTTTTCATGAAAAATGACTTTATCCATCCATATTGGACAAAATATGTTCAACAGCATGTTGATCAACTTCACGTAGTTCACCACAATATGCCAATCTCAAAACAACACCTATAATGCATGCAGGTTATTAATACACTGTATATACACACTCAAATTTGCACATCCAACAATGATATACCTTGATGCATTGATCAATCAACAACCAACTAGAACGTCCACACTAACAACTTGTATAGCACTATCAAAATAAATTGTAATGAAATGGCAAGCATGAACTTGACAAACTTGTCTACCATATGTTGGATTATCCTCACCATTTTAGTATTTTTATACAATTGCAATGTTGGATAATGATAATAACAATATGACTTAAAGACAAACCCGTCCTTTTGTGTGATCAAAAAATAATCAAAATTGCAATGGATTTTTTTAAGTGATGATATAGTTGCATATTTCCTTGTTGATTTCTAGTTTGAACAGCTTGATAGCATTCGTTTTCAAGATATGTTCTATTTCATCGTCATACACATCCAACTCTGGCTTGTAAAACAAATGCCAATGTAATCCTTGACTATTTTCACTTAGTTGATTTCAAAAATGACAACCTGCAATTTGCAATTCATAGATGAATGTATTCCATGGTTTAGACTTTCATCACAATATTTCTTCTTGTATTCAAGAATCATATGCTGATACGCTAATCAATACGTTCTCATGTTGAGTTCCAAGATGTTTTTTTATAGTTTGGGTTAAAACAAAAAGTGAAATAGTTAAATATTTTTATTGTGCTTTTGCTACCTTGTTATTTACACGTTGCAATTGCTCTCTTGATCCGTCACACACTTTGCAAAGCCAAATGCAGCCAAAAAGTCACTATGCGTGATATATAATCTTCAAGATTAAAATCATTTGATAGTCAAAAGTGACATCTTCTGATTCGGAAATGTTGTTGAAATCAAATAGTTTGGAGCTCGATACTACAAAATATTCTTTAAGATGGGTAGAGATTAAGTAGACATATTCATACATGTAGACATATCATAAATCCAAAGATATGAAACTGCTAAAGTGTATCAAAGAACATGTAATCAGCTCATGTATGCAAGTGCAAAAATAAAAAGTGCGATGTGTATGCAAATGCAAAATTCAAAAGTTTGATATTCAATAGCAATTGATGATCAAACACGCAAAATGTGAAAATTCAATTGATAAGATCGGATTTGAAACATGCTAAGACATGAGAGTAAATATAAAGAGATGCGTCATTAAAAATTCAACATAAAGCGTGTACAAAGATGAATATTCAGCTATTCAAACAGGAAACAATACAAACTTGATAGTACACAATTTCTTCATGGTTACTGAAGAAAAAAGCAAGAGAGGAAATTATTCAAATTGAGCAGTGACAACAGCTGTTTTTCATTTTGTGTTTAGTAGAATCTGAATGTACTTTATCATTATACTTACATACTTCAAACGCGTTGTTGTGATACCACTACATCTGTTGAAGAATGTCTACTTTGATTTGACATGTAGAGAGTAGATAAATATAGATCTAAAAATCATCTAGCTCCGGATGAAAAGACTTAGTCATAGACATAGATGACAACTAGGACAAGAAAAAACCAAATCAATAACGCAACATTGTCAGCAAATTAGAAGTGAGATTCAAGAAAGAAAGATAATGACTTTGAACTTAGTGTTGTGGTTGAAAATAAGATTTGTATGCACTACAAAATCATCAAAAAGAAAGATCAATTGATTTAAGATGAGCGATAGAACGAGGGAGAGATAAAATGAATTTGACATTGAATAATTTGCATGTATCAATACCTTACACTTCGTAATTTTTCTTGATACTCAACGCAATTTGAAAGTGATATCATCTAATTTGAAACGGTTGTTGGCATCGAACGTTGATATATATAACAATAGCTA